GTCATCCTAGAAAAGACAAACTAAGGTAGTTATTAGAAATTAGTTATTAAAAGTAATATATTTTAAAAATATATGTTGAAAAAATATATCCATTAAACAGCACTTGGGAAATATATTTTCAATCATTAAAATTTCACAGGACCAATATCTTGGCCTTCAACAGTGGGTGGCTAAGTTATTAAGACTAGTCAAAGCACTTATTTTTGTGTTGTTTTTTTCCATTATATATATACACCTGAAATTTCTATTTTAGAAACAGTTTCTATTTACTACAGGTGAACAACAGGATATACAATGATCACGTCAGGTATACCTCATGCTTTATTCAGAGTTAAATGCTAATAATGTGAGTTTGAATGCCATTTCACATGACATTTATTGTCATACTACATCCGATAGTTAAACATCAGATCTTAAAATAAAATAAACTGTTTAATATTGAACTTTAGAACTGTGACTCAAGTTACAAGCCAAGTTACAAAACAAACATTAACCATTCAGCATGTAATAAAGTTAAAGAGGTTTAAAATGTATTAATTCGATTATAAACCTAACCATTTTGTGAGTGGGCGCATATTCTGTGCTTCTGATTGGCTGTATTTAAACTTCTGTCATGTTTCGTCTGGTGCATACAGCCAAATTGCTTAACAGTGCAAATCTTGTCATGAAGCTTGTTAGGACACAGGGTAACAATGCAACCTGCTCACCTAATTTTTAGGTTCGTAAAAACTCATAAAGGTTCGTAAACACTTAGCATGTTTCTTAAATATCTACAAACATATTATGGTATTTTTTATGCTTTAGAAGAGAGTCAAAGCAGCACCTTTAAACACACCAATGTACCTATTTACTTTTATTTATTTATTATTTAAATCTTGGGCAATCCCACGAAAAATTTATCATGACCTAGGAATCCTTTAAGGGGGTATATTTTATAAATTATTATTATTTTAATATTTCATTTTTAATTTCCAAATTCTTTTAACTTTTCAAACAAACTGATGGCAGCTTTCCTCAGAAAAACCCAAGGACGGAGTTAAGGGCACAGAGTTAAATGAGGATAAAGGTGTCTGGTTGTTTTGCTGGAATTAAAGAATGGCTTTAAATCAAACGCTGCAATCTATTGGCACAGACATCTCTCCTCTATGGCTGGCTTTGATCACAAGAGTACCTCCCAACGCCTATGAAGAAGAGCGACGTTGTGGACTGATGCGTACTGAAGTGGAGAGATGCCACCAGCCTATCCTTCCTTGGAGACTCGGCCATCAAAGCAGGCGCTGATCTCGAGGGATCCCTTTAATCTAAAATTATAGCCATACAATTTCCCGACCAGCCAATCCAATCTACATAAAACGTCTCGCAAAGGTTCAAAAGCAACCAAACACATCTGTGAAGAGAGCTTTATAGAGTGACCGTGTAATATAGATGCATATGAGACAACAAACACGGCTGTTCATCCATTTTTAAATGTGATCCTTGTAAAATATACAACACAGGCTCATTGGAAATACATGCTTTAGCCTACATTTTTGTGGGAGAAAAAAACACTTCAAGCATATGTTTGACTGCAGTTTCAGAGTAAATTGAATTCTACAGAGCAGTATGATGGCAAACAAATTACACTAAAGGTATTTACAAAGACATTATTTTATGCAAAATACCAAATAAGTACAGTAAAACACCTTAATGTGTATGTTTTGTCTGTTTGGTTACTTTGAATTCAATATTGGTGAAGCGCAGTTCCACAAAAGACAAAAAAGTAATGTAAAATCAAGTTAAATCTATGTGGTTGTCGTGCACTTTTCTCTTATGTTTGCTTTTAAAAAAAATATTGATCGGGTTAAGGGAAGAGTTTAGGTCAGTGGTTTGCAAGGTGATCTGTACGACAAGCCGTGCCTTCTCATGCCTGTACATAAGAAAGGTGTGTTTCTGAAATGTACAGCAAAACATACCATAAGTAATGTATTTTAAATTTGCAAAAATGTAGTTAGCGCCCTCTAGTGAATTTGTCATGTGAAACAGGCAACCAAAACGTACCTGGAGAAACCTATTTATGTAAAGCACATATTTCCAAGTAACCCAAGTTGAAAATATACATATGTATAAATCAATAATTTAACCAAAATTATTAAGCTAAATTAGGGTGATTTTTTTTATTATTATTAATTTAAGAAACTTTATCCTGAAAGTGTGATATCTGGAGGTTCAAGTTAAAATGGGGTGTTTAAGCAAATTAAATCAGTGCAATTAATTATTAAAAGGTCTCAAATTAAATAGCACATCAATATATTCAGTCGTTAATGTATAGTTATGAAACATCTTCAGTCTTTCAGACTGACATTACAAACATTCAAATAGTCACAAATTGCTGGGGTAGCAATTTGAAGTTGGGATATAAATACTGAGACCTACGGTAAAGATCAAAGTCAACTTTTAAAGTAACTTGACTTTTTTTTGAAAGAACATTGTAGCAATTGTGTTATCAATCCAACATATGGCTACAATCTACCATTAAAAAGTATTTGTAATTAAATCTTCTGTTCAACAGTCATTCTTAAAAAATGCTGCTCAGTTCATCCAGTAATTAAGATGGTATTTTTTTAGGTTATTGAATCATTCGCTCAAACCAAGATCAAAAATATATATTTAGAAACTTAAATTTATATAATTTAAAATGATAAAATAACAAATAAAAAAAGTAAAAACTTGGACTTGTCTTTAGTTTTAGCATATAAACGCAAACAGTAATTCTGCAGTCATGAGTATACATTGGAAATAATGTTGTAATAAATAATAATCAGCGTCTTGCTTGGCACAACTGTTTTGCTTCAGAAGACCACATGAGCCATACCAGAAACTGTTTCAACTATTGACATACTTAATTCAAATACTTTTGGTAAGTAGCAAAAAAGCCATAACTCGAAAATGGTTTCAGGTTGATCCTTCAGCAAGGGCTCAATGGATATAGTGTATAAAGGAAATACACTGCATGAAGAGGCTGACTTTAACACCTAAAACTTGATTCAGTGCAACAAGTATGGGCAAAAATGGACCGAGTATGTCATTGTAAAAAATATTTGATAATGTGCTTCAAATGTATAGTGACTTAATTTTGCAGACCATATGCCAACCGCTTTATTATGTTCTTTTCTTCATTTTCTCTCTTTTTTTTAATAATAAAAAAAAAATTTAAGAACACATTTATTTATTTATTTATTTATTTATTTAATTCCAAAGTGGTAGCGGTTGACTTTACTCTGTTTTGGCAAGGACCACAGATTCAGCTATTAATCTTATAATTCTGCATCTTAAAAGGCCTAAGGGGAAGTAAATTAACAGTATTTTTATTTGTATATTTACTTTTTTAGGTAACTATGTATTCAAATGTCTTGCAAGGTATGTATTTATTTTTGTCTCAGGAGAAATAATCTGAGATGCAGGAGACTTAATTTGCTTTTTATTTAATCTCATTGGTGTCTAAAAGAAACAATTGGAGACATTAAAGAGACTCAATTTATTATTTCTCTTTCCTATGGGAGAGAATCTTTAATAAGTGCATACATTTTTAATCAGCGTTTGTAGTGATCCTGTTTTCTGCCGTTAGAGTTACAGACACGGGTGGGAGGGAAGGCACTGAACGCGAATCTGCCATACCACTCGCTTAATGTGTTTTCCATTTCTTGCTTTTTTCCAACACGCCGGCCAATACATTATTCATGGCTCAAAGTGAGCAGCAACATGTCCATGGTAAATTCCCTCCCTTTCATCGCTTCGCTCTTCCTTCTTTATTAAATATTTTACCTCAGCAACAGGTCTGATGCAACAGTGAACAGAAATGATCAGTATCATTTCCTCACTTTCTGACAGACACACACACACTTACACACACACACACACACACTCAGACTGCGGCTGAACATGCAAATCAGCTCTCTCTTTTAAATAAATTATCATTCAAGACGCCGTAGATCAGTGGGTCTAAAATCGGATCCTAGTAAGTTTATATTGCTACCAAGTTTTTTTTTTTTTTTTGGAATAAATAAAAATAAATATGCATTTTGATCCAGGGGGAAACATACTGTAGGGGGAATCATATATCCGAACAGACATTCACACACATTCTTTCCCCCTCAAATTCTTCTCTTTTCTTATTCTATAATTCATTAATTTTCCTTCGGCTTAGTCCCTTATTTATCAGAGGTCGTCACAGCGAAATGAACCACTAACTATTCTGGCATATATTTTAGTTTTGTATTTACTTCCATTAAATTTTATTTAAAAACTGTGGCTGTTCATATTAAAGCATGCCTCTTAAATTTAACAGGCATAAACTATGCTTATGCCAGTGATTATCTATATATATATATATATATATATATATATATATACACACACACAAATTATCTCTTAAAAAAAGTAACATGAAATTCTACAATACAGGAAAAGTCATGTATATTTCTAGATTGATGCAAACTGACTTTAATTCAATTTATTATCCTTTTTATGCAGTTATTGCTTAGTTTAATAATTTTCATTCATCTTCTATTTTTGTGAATGTTTATATAAAAGCTTGTCTGTCAAATCAATTGAAATGAAGCAGTGTGTTAATTACCAGGTATAAACTATGCTTTGCTAGTGGTTTTATAAAACATTATATATATATATATATATATATATATATATATATATATATATATATATATATATATATATATATATATATATATATATATATATATATATTCTACTGCACAATAAAAGTCCTTTGTATATTTCTGCAAGATGCAAACCAACTTTTATTAAATTTAATTATCATTTGATGCATTCATTATTTAGTTTTGTTTTCATTTTCATTCATTTTCCATTTTGAAACTGTGAATGTTCATATTGAAGTGTGCCTGTCAAATCAACTGAAACGAAGTGGAGTGGTAATTAACAGGTATGAGCAGTGACTTTATTAACACTTATGGAGCCGACATTTGAGTTATGAAAGCACTTACCTGATATAATAATCATTCCTGATGAGCAGCAGGTGCTGAAGGATGGAGAGGAAGTAAGGCTCTGATCCTGTGTCTTTCACCATGTTGGACAGGAGATGGTACACCTCACCCATATCAGTGAACAGATGGTTAAGGACAAAACTGTACATTCTGGCTAAAGTAAAGCATTATTTATAGTATATAAACATTTATACAACAGTAGTTAACATTTTTAGATCAGTAAAACAAAACACAGGGCTGCATTTATCTAATAAAATGCAATAAAAACTGTAAATTTGTTAAAATATTATTACAATTTACAATTATTATTGAATTTAGTCTTAATTGTATTTATACCTGTGACTCAATGCTGAATTCTCAGTATCTTTACCTCAACCTTCGGTCACATGATCCTTCAGAAATCATTATAATATGGAGATGTGCTGCACTATTATGATGAACAATGATGATGATTATTATTGGTGCTCGGTCATTAATAATGATTCTATCAATGTTGAAAATCTTTCATTTTTTCACATTTCATACTGCTGTGGAAACCGTGATATGTTTTACTTTTGAGAATTATTTGATAGAAAAAAAAAGAGCTCAAAAAAAGGTCACCACAGCAGAATGAACCGCCAACTATTCCAACATATGTTTTACACAGCGAATGCCCTTCCAGCCACAACCCAGTACTGGGAATCACCCATTCTCACACACATACTTATGCACTTTTCTAGTCCATTTTGTAGTATGAATAGTGTAAGTAGTGCATGCACAGAAATCAACTATTAAAAAGAAGAGTGTAATGATGGCCACTTCACGCAGTGGCTGCTGCTTTTGCTCACGTAGCAGAAGGGGCAGAGCTTTCAGGCCCTGATGTTGGATTCATTTGCTTATTTTGGATTGTGAAAGCATAATTCTCCTCTGGGAGTGATTATACCTCCTCCTGATGGTGAATGCGGTTATACTCATGGCAGGTATTATTTGTTATCTTTTTATTTTGCTAATTTGGCAACCGTCAAACGTCATCAGTGAAACAGTTTGAATTTCCGCTTAATTAAAAAAATGTTAAAGAACAGCGTGGGAAACCAGAGCACCTGGAGGAAACCCACACGGACACGGGGAGAAAATGCAATTTCTACAAAGAAATGCCAACTGGCCCAGCTGAGACTCGAACCAGCGACCTTCTTGCTGAACACTGAGCCACAGTGCCAGCCCAAAAAATTATCACTTTATTATTATTTTTTAAACATTATCTCTTTAAAAAAGTAACAATACAATATCAGTCAATATCAGGCTTTACTTCATTCTAGGGCAATTTAAAGTGTTCATTATACAGTTTTTTTTGTTTTTTTTTAAAGGTACTGTATTTTATTGACAAAAACATGTTTTCATCACTAATAATAACAACAACAACAACAATAATAATAATAAATGTTTCTTGAGCAGTATATAATCATGTGACACTAAAAATGCTAAAAAGTCAACTCTGAATCACAGGAATAAAACTATGAAAACTAAACAAAACTACTTCCAAGAGGAAAAACTGTTATTTTAAACTGTATTAATATTTTGCATACTGTATATTTTTCCAAATAAATGCAGTTTTTCTCAGCAGATTGGCCTTATTTTAAAACCATTATTTTTTTCTGACTCCAAACTTTTGACCGGTAGTGTTTATCCATCCATAAAAAAAATACAATTCTCTACAGTAGACAGACAGGAATTACTAGAGTTGTAGTACACTGAAAAAAGTGTTGCATGCAGAACTGTTGCAAACAATTTATTTGTGTTGAATTTAAACAAACAAATTAAATTGAATAATGTTCAACTTAATTTGTTTGTTTAAATTCAACTCAATTAAATTGTTTACAGCCACTTAACATAAAAAATTGAGTAAATCTAAGGAATCATCTTTGAATAATTTTTTTCAGTGTAGTATAATTTAATGATAAGTGTTGTGTAAGCAAGAAGTGATGAAAGAAGTGTGAGCAACAGATCTAACTGTACATGGTCATAGCACACTGTAAATGTTTTGCTTGTTTTAATGCAAATGGAGAGCTGAGGCAAACATTGAATCTAACCAGGCCTGGTGATAGTTTCCTGTATACTGTTAGTGTGTTTTGGCATGCAATTTGCTAACATAAGTAAGCGCAAAGTTTTGAAAAACTGTGACAGGAGAAATGTATCCAGTCGTTGAACTTGATCTGGACATCACTTATTTATTTGTTATTAAATAATTTGGTACTTACAGTATGTCTTAGTTGAACTTAATTAAAACCCATACACCATGGATCATTTATCATATTTATTTTATTATTTATTTATTTATTTATTTATTTATTTATTCATTCATTCATTTATTCATTCATCCATTTTTGTCTGGACTAAAACATTATGCTCTATTTGTCTCCCTTGACTCCAAAAACAGAGGAGATGTGCTCTTAAACTTGCAGAGTATCGATTAGATGTCCAGCATCACTTCTCCCTTAAGAGAAAGGTCACTGGCTTTCAATGTCAGAAATAAATGTAACATCAGATAGTCATCAT